GTAAGTCAGTCTTTCTCTCACAGTTGTCCCGGTCACAGGTACGGTCTGCGTTTTGAACTCCTTATAGAACTGAATGAGTTAACATTTATAAACCCTTGGCATAGTGGTTCTGTTCTCAACATTTTTACTTGTGGGAGTAATGGGCTTCCCAAACTTGGGCACGGAATGAACTTTCCTTCCTCAGTCTTTCTCAGTTCGGCAAGTGACTTCTGTATCATCCCGGCGGCTCACGTCCTCGCTCTCTTCCCTGCTGCGCAAGCCCAGATCACAACTCCCTCTGAAGCTACTGTCTCTTTTGCAGCCAGTCCTTGTAGCCACACCCAGAATTTAATCATATCTGCCGCAGGTAACCCATTTCAAAACATCATCATCTCTTGTCTGGATCCAGATGCCACAGACTCTTAAATAGCTGCTTCTGCTTCTGGGCTTCTTTTCAGCAAAGACTATAATAAAATTCAAGTCCGTAGGCATAACATATATATATATATATATGTGTGTGTGTGTGTGTGTGTGTGTGTGTGTGTGTGTGTGTGTCTGCTTGGTACCAACTGCCATCACACAGTCAGCAGCATCCCTGTTCACACACACGTACACACACTTGGAGCCTCATTGTAGCAACTAAAATCCTAGTTACCTTTGACCGCAGTTCTGAGCCTACTGCTCAGCTCCTGTTCTTTGCCTCCAAAATCCTAGGACCTTTCACCTAGTTTGTCTATATGTCTGTGTTTTGTGCTACCTCACCTCCTTCAGATAATAACCTTCCCCATGTGACCCTCAGTTCTCTAGGCCCATAGCAACTTTCCAATTCTAGATCCTATCCCCTGTTTAGTTGGTCTTCTGGCCCTCAACACTGTTCTGCCTATGTTATGGATTAATTATTGAGTGTGTCTATTCCACGTCTGCCTCCATTAGACTACAGGACTATTGTTAGCTTTTGAATACCTGGTACTTAAAACAGCTCATAAAATAAACACTCAATAAATACTTAATGAGTAAGTGTGTGACTGAGGAAATATAAGAAAAAAAATACTGCAATGAAGTATATTTGTTAATGGTTTGCAGCCGGGCAGTGGTGGCACGCACCTTTAATTCCAGCACTTGGGAGGCAGAGGCAGGCGGATTTCTGAGTTTGAGGCCAGCCTGGTCTACAGAGTGAGTTCCAGGACAGCCAGGGCTGTACAGAGAAACCCTGTCTCGAAAAACCAAACCAAAATAAAATATAAAATAAATAAATAAAATAAAATATAAAAAAATAAATGGTTTGCAGTACCTTCTAGATACCTGTGGATTTCTAGTCCCTGAGGACATAACTGAAGCAAAGACTACTTTGGTGTCCTGCCACAGTCTAGTGGAGGTGGAGAAACTGCCAGAAATGCAGGGGTGGGTTTGGAGAGATGGCTCAGTACTTAAACCCATCCACTCTTTTAGAGAACCTGGGTTCGACTCCCAGCATCTGCATGGTAGCCCACAGTTATCTGAAACTCTAGTTTCAGGGCATATGACACTGTCATCTGGACTTCCCAGGCATTGCCAACACATACATGGAAGCAAAACACACAAGTATATAGAATGAGAATAAGTACATCTTTTAAAGTGTTCAGAGAATTCTTTCATTTTGTCTTAGATCCAGACAAGAGACAATGAACTACCTTAGTGCTGGCAGATTCAGTCAAATTCTGGCTGCTAGAATAGACAATTTTCAGGCCACCTGTAGGGTGGGAATGAAAACACATGACAAGTATTTGCCACCCAAAAGGGAAGACATATAAAACTTGTGTCTAAAGGGTCACCTGAAGGTTCAGGAGAGCAAGGACCTAGGGAGAGGATGTGGCGAGAAAGGGGACCTAAAACGATACTGAATTACGTAGGGTGAGGTTAGTACTTGCTAAGGAAGTGGCTACATTGGCTTTTGTGCTCTCTGAGTTCTACTCATACCAAATAAACAGGCAGCCTACAAAGAGGAGAAGGAGGATCTGGAGAATTGGAAAGATTGGCACCATGCTGAGTCCTGTTTACTCCTGTTTCATAAAAAATCTAGGAGGGAAAGACTAAGATGCTGGGCCTTGCTTAGAATGTAGGAGGAGAGACATGTATGTGACTTTTCCCTGGAAAAAATAAAAACCCTGGTTGGGACCTGGTGCTGTCAGTAAGGAAGTTTTCCTAGTGCTTTGTCAAGTGTGTGCTCATGGTCCTCCTGAGTCAAGGATACACAAAATATACTGAAGAGACAGACTCCTACCAGGACCAACCGACCAGCCCTGAGCTTTCCCAGGTCACAAAAGGCTCCTTACAGCTGTCAGGAGCCACAGCTGAAAAATGTCCCCAGAAGTGTCTACTCTGTACCATAAATCCTCTTCAAGGACATACTCAGCTTATCTAGAACATGTCATTTATAAAATGTTTTTTAAAAAGATTTATTTATTTTATGTATGTGAGTACACTGTCACTATCTTCAGACACACCAGAAGAGAGCGTCAGATCTCATTACAGATTGGTTGTGAGCCACCAGGTGGTTGTTGGGAATTGAACTCAGGACCTCTGGAAGAGCAGGCGGTGCTCTTAACTGCTGAGCCATCTTTCCAGCCCTATAAAACGTTTTTGAGATGGCATTATTATTCACAAGGTGGTCGACATTCTAAAATGCTAGCAATTGTTGTTGAAGAAGAAAAAGAAGACAATGACACTATGGCACCTCTGTCTTCTCTCTCCATCACTCCAAGGATGAGCAGCAGGTGCTTGTCATTAGATGGATTTCAGCTGGAGAATATGAAGAAGGACTTAGATTTATGGTCTAGTGCTCAGCCCAATGCCATGAGCTAGGCAGTAAGAAAGGGCTTCCTTCTACAGGCACTACCGGGAGCCAGCCTCATGATGCACATTGTCATGGTACTGGGGGCATAATGTACTTGTGATAGTTGATGAACTAAGGCAAGCATTGTCCTGTCCTAGGGGAGGAGAGCTGCTGGTGGCAGGACAGAGGAGAGGCTCCACACATTTCTGGAGACTTGACCTAGGAGGTGTATCTGCTTTACATGTACATGGTTTTACAGCAAGCCTGGGAAGTGAAGAGACTGCATAGGGAAGTGTACTCATGTTCAAGGAGCTACTGAAGGGTAAATCTGGGGCCTTGTGCTACAGAGCGGGAGGCGTGCCTGGTCATTTCCTTACTTTCCTTCTTCCAACCCCTCCTACCACCATCCCATCCAAATTCATGGCTTCTTCCTCCTCCTCCTCCTCCTCCTCCTCCTCCTCCTCCTCCTCCTCCTCCTCTTCCTCCTCCTCTTCCTCCTCCTCCTCCTCCTCCTTCTTCTTCCTCTTTCTCCTCTTCCTCCTCTTCCTCTTCTTCTTCTCTTTCTCCTCTTCTTCCTTCTCCTTTTTCTTCTCCTTCTTCTTCTTGTTTTACACACACACACACACACACACACACACACAAGTACAACCTGCTGAGATAGTTTAGTGGTATTTTTGTATGCTTTCAGGCTGATCGATTTGTATTGTATAGCCAGGTAGGGAATTCCTCCCTGGGGAAAATTAGTTCTCCTTCTCCCAGTAGTCATTGGTTGCCTGTAGTTCTTTGTCTAGAGGTAGAGCCCCATGAGACTTCCTCTTTCCATGATATCACGTCTATCTGTGTTGTCAGTGTTCAGGTCTTGTTTAGGCAGCCATATTGTTACAGTATTGTTTATCTACCAAAGATTAAATAACAACAACAAAAAAGTTAAACAGAAAGATATAAAAAATGTTATTAGGAATTGTGTATGCCTGTAAGACTAACTAACTCATCAGGACCACTCCAGAGGCACCCCTAGATCCACAAGATTGCTTAAGGCTGTGTTTGAACACCTATCTCCTCTGTCTACATACCTTGCTTGCTATTCACACCCTAATGTAGTACCCTGTGTTCTCTAAGCCTCTCTTAAAGCTGCTTAGACCCACTGGCATCCCTCTTGAGAGCCACATAGCTGCTGCAATATCTGAGCACACTCTTTAAACTCGTGTTGGAGGGAGTCCCTAGCAAAAGAATTCTACGAAGCCCAAAGATTCTTTTAATTTCATTGTATAGAAGAGGAATGTGTGGTTCAGAGCAGATTCATGCTCTTTTGGAAAGGCCAAGCCCTCCTACCTGACCACAAAGCCTGTGCTTTTCACTGTGTGTCACGGAGATCAAGGCCCCTTTATTTCTGTGCTCTTGGCATCTAACAAAGTGCCTTGAACGTGGTGGGTCTTTACTGTCTGTCAAATAAATGAACAAATGAACGAATACTATCATATGCTATGTTTTGAGTCTCAGTATGTTAACTATGCCCCAGTAAGTCCATAACCACAGGACTGTGTCCATTTTAGGTGTGTAGTCTCTCTCCTGTCAGCCTCACTTCCATCTGATTAGACATTGCATGAGAAAAAGAAAGATGTAGGTAGCCAGCCTCCCAGTCATATCATAGCAGTATGCTATGGTAAGAGATGGACAGTTTTGACACAGATGCAGTTTTCTTCTTTAAGTACTTATCGATGTCAGATACTGTAGCTGGGCATCTTTTAGAAAAATAACATGCAAATGAAGAGAGCTCACACACCAAGTGACTTTGCAGAAGTCAAGGGTTGTAGGCTTTATTTTGGATTTGTTTTTTCCTATGTTTGTTATATTTACCAGAAAGAGGAACTAAAAGCCAAAGTTTCCTCAAGTTACTAAAGATTAATAACAAGAAGTGAAGACAGCGAAAAGAGCAGTTTTACTCATGTGAATGCCAGGAAATCCATGGTCTAGACACAGTGTGCCACTTGGTACAATGTTTTTGGCTGGTGATATCTTTCCAAAGTAACCAGGTAACCAATAGGACATGGCATGCTACAATGAAGATCTGTCTATATATGTGTGGATGCATGTGTATATGATTATATATGAGTAAATATGTATGTATGTAAATATGTGTCTTCTTTGTTCGTTAACATAAGAGGAGGTCAGGGAACGAAAAAGTCATTTTTTATATTTACCATTTTGCTCCATGTGTATTTATCATATTTATTGCCAAAAGCAGATACATAGGGCTAGATAGAAGAGTGCTTGAAAAAAATTCTGAATTGCATACCAGATGGTATGCGACGGTGGTTCACAACCTCTTATAACTACAGCTTCAGGGAATCTGGTGCTTTCTTCTTGCCCTCCACAGGCTCTTGAACACACCTCGTGCATATAAACCCATACATGCTCACATAATACACATAAACCAAACAAAAACATGTCTTTGAAAAAATTAACAATACTCTTTTAAAAGGGATGGTTGGGGGGGTGGACAGGCATCTTTTTATTTGAGAGGAAAGGAGGCTTGTTATACAGTAACTGTTTTTGAACTTTGCACTTACAGACAACATGAAAAGAAACACAGGGCAACCGGGTAAAAGAAAGTGGGAGAACAGCACAGGGTCAGAGATAAGGGAGACAAACGAAACAAAACAGGAGCAGCATTTCATGTTCCATTTTCAAATCTACAGTTCACATGTGACATGTGGGAATAACCCTCCACTCCTCGGAAAAACTGAATCCTGGGAGTAACCTGGGGGAGCTGTCCATCCATTTGCCTAACAAGTGCTTAAGGACTTCAAGTTAAATCTCAGAATACAAATTAAAAAAAAAAAAAGCTCAATCATTATCAACCACACCCTTAGCAAATGCCCAGCCTTGTGGGAAGGAAGCCAAGAAGAAGCTCTCCAAAGTTGAATTTGGTGGCTAGATAGTTCATTTCCAAGCCTGTGAGATCTGCCTTGTCCCAGGGCATCTGCTGGCATCTGTAGTGTTCAGCCAGGAGAGGGTACAACTTGAGGTCTGCTGTGAACGTTAATATTGACTCTAGAATCTTCTTGGAGACATGTCACTGGCATGTTTGTGGGGGATCTTCTAGATTGGCCTAGTTGAAGTAGAGAGATTCATCCTAAATATGATATGGATAAATATCCATAATTAATATGTATAATATGGACAAGTATCACAACCATGGGTTGGGATCTTAGTCTAAATAAAAAGAATATGAACTAAACGATAGCTGTCATTGCTCTAAGAGTCCTGACCAAAGACCAGCTGCCTCATGCTACCTCCATATCCTCTCTGCCATGGTGGACAAGACTAATGTCAAGGTTGACCTGTAAAGTCACGGAAGGATAAATGTCTCCTGCTCTTATAATCCTGCAGTCCCATTAGAGTCATGGAGGTGACATCTTGTCTTTTCACTGTTTTTCATCTTCCTTTTGTGTTGGAGGATTTAGGAGCCATGGTCTATTAGTTAAATCTATCCTTGCTCAAATTTCTGTTTGGTGTTTACCCAGTGTTAAGGATAACAGGACTTCATGACAACTCCCACACTTCTTAGGGCTAAGCCCTAACCTCCATGTCTCAAAAGGTAGCTGCATTTGGAGATAGCCCAGTTAACTGTATAGAGTAATTAAAATGAGACCATGGAGGGAGGGAAGCCTCAAATCTGTCACCTGGTGCTTTCATGCAGACTGGAAATTGCATCGCAGACTGTAACCGAGAGACCTGATCAATGAATAAAGACACAGAGAAGGGCAGTCTGAAAGTTGAGTGGACAGGCCTCAGAAGGAGCATTCCATCCAAAAACCTTGATCCTGAGCGTCCAGACTCCAGTAGTGCAGGACAATGCATTTCTTTTTCTTAAGACATCCAGTGTGTGGTACTGGACTGGCATCTGCAGAAGACTGACTGACTGAGCTTCGACCTTTTCTGAGCTTCGACCTTTTTCTTTTTTTTTTCCCCCTAAGGAGTGGGTGTGGTTGCATAAACACCAGTTCACTAACTGGCCTTTCTTTGAACTTTTAACCATTTAATGACACCCTGAGGACTTGTCTACTTTCCAGCCTGATCAGTAGTGTCCATCCGTGCTCCCCACTGTTCCCCACAGGAGCTTTCTCTTTGTACTTCACGAAAGAAGCAATCAGGAGAGAATGTCATTTATCACCAAATCCTCTATCACCTCACACACACACCCCCAGCCATATTCTCCACCTCCTTTTGGTGAGGAGCTGGAGTCCCGCCCACATCCCCACCATGCCTCAAATTCCTCTCCCCATCTCCTGCATTTGCCAAGTGTTACTGTGTTAGTGAGTCATTTCCTCAGCCTCCAAAGTTCTGTGAGAAGTCTGAGCTCAGAAAAAGATGCTGTTTCCTGAATCCCAGGCTATTATTACTTTCTCATTATTGAGAAAAAATATCCAACATGATAACTGAAGAGAAGAAAATTTCACTTTGGTTCGAGTTTTAGAGGATTTGGTTCATGGTGTCTTGGCTTCAATGCTTTGGGTATATCACATGGCATAGGACAGTAGTTCACATCATGACCAACCAGAAGGCAGAGAACTGGACAGGAAGTTACCAGGGATGACACAGCTTCAAAGACTTTTAATCAGTGATCCAAGTCCTCCATTTTGACCCTTCCTCTTAAATTTATAAACCTTCCAAAATAGTTCCCCAACCTGAGGTCCAAGAGTTCACAATCATGACCCTATAATTTTACATATCCAAATCGTAATGCTCAGCCTTCCAATTGTATCCTTATTTCTCTGTTCCTTTTGACATTAAAAAAAAAATTGGTCCTCTTTTCAACACAACTGTGCTCTAACACTGACAGAACCTTCAAACATTCTCTTGCACCTACACTGTGGGCTCTGTCCTTCTCATTCCCTGAAAATGCTCCTCTTGGGGATGGAAAGAAGCATTTAAGAGTGTTTTCTGCTCTTGCTGGAAACTGGAGTTAAGTCCTCTTATCCACACCAGGCAGCTCACAACCATTTACAGCTTCATCTCTGGGGACCTGATGCCCTATATTGGTCCATATGGGAACCTCACATAGGACCATACACACATATACATGAATATGTTGGGTTTTTAATTTAATTTAATTGTTTTCTTTTCTTTTTTTCTTTTTTTCTTTTTTTCTTTTTTTCTTTCTTTCTTTCTTTCTTTTTCTTTTCTTTTTTGAGTTTCCGTTAGTCAAGACTTTCTTTTTCACAAGTCACCCTTCCACGTTCCTTTTGCTGGGATTCCCACAGTTTTCTGACTCTTACTTCAAGAATATTTCCCAAGGCTTTGAAACTTCTCCATTCTGTGTGTTACATAGTCTTTCTGTAACTTGACAACCCTCTTTACAAACTGTGTGCTGAAACCTCATGTACCAGGTCATTTAAGGTCACTGATCTTAAACAGCTTATAGCAGAATTGTGTGCTGGTAAAATGGCCCAACCTATTCAGTCCTCTTTGCTGTCAAGCCTGATGACCTCAGATCAATGCCTTCCACACACACATGGCAGAGAGCAAGAAAGGACCCCTCAAAGTTGTCCTTTGACCTCCACTTGTGTGCTGTGGCATATATTCTCACACACACACACACACACACACACACACACACACACACACACAGAAAGAGAGAGAGAGAGAGAGAGAGAGAGAGAGACAGAGAGACAGAGAGACAGAGACAGAGACAGAGAGAGAGAGAGAGAGAGAGAGAGAGAGAGAGAGAGAGAGAGAGAGAGAGACTGAGTGACAGGCCCAAATTGGGATCCAGCTCAGGGGAGGCCCCAAGGACTGACACTATTACTGATGCTATGGTGTGCTTACAAACAGGGGCCTATCATGACTGTCCTCCAAAAGGTCCAACAAGCAGCTAAAGAGAGATGCAGATATTTGTACCCAACCAATGGACAGAAGCTGGTGACCCCTCTGGTTATATTAGGGGAAAGCTGGAAGAAGCTGAGTAGGAGGGCAACCTTATAGGAAGACCAGCTGTTTCAACCAACCTAGACCCCTAGTAGCTCTCAGACACTGAGCCACCAACCAGGCAACATTCACTAGCTGATATGAGGCCCTGACATAGATACAGCAGAGGACTGCTGGGTCTGGACTCAGTCAGAGAAGATGCACCTAACCCTCAAAAGACTTGGGGCCCCAGGGAGTGGGGAGGTCTGGTGGGGTGGGGGTAGAGATGGGGGTGGGGACATCCGAGACAGGGTGGGGAGGAAGTGTGGGGGTGGACCTGTAGGGAGATGAAGTCTGTACTGTAAAAAAAAAATTAAAGAATGTATTTAATAAAAAGAAAGAGAAAATACAGGAAAAGAGAGAGGGCACACAAAATGAATAAGCAAAATGACAACAAACATTTAAAAGAATGAAATGCACAGCCTAAAAGTCCTCCGGACATAGGGAGCTGCAGAGACCTACTCTCCTGCTGCCTTCAAAAGGATTCTCTGTTCATCCTCTAGTCTAGCTGCAAATGGCTGCTTTCCCGAACCTTAAAAAAGAACAAGGGGGCTTTCCTGCACCAGCTTTTGCATCTAGTATCCCTTCTGCCTGGAAAATGTGTCATAAAAGTCCTGTGTTATGATCCATTATGTGACAAGTCTCTGTTTAAGCAATATATATCTTCTTAGGAAGGAGAGTCGTGTTTTGGACTCTATTTTGGAGTTCCCACGTAGGATGAAGTCTTAGTGCATATGAGATGGGTTGCACACATCCTATCAACTCTAAAATGCTATCTTTGGCAACCCCCTAGAGCAAGCAGCGATAACTTACATTTATTGAGTAATCAGTTATTATGTCTTGGGGATTATGCTAAATACCTAGGAGGATATTAACTCATCTAACCAAAGCAAGCTGTGATGCAATTAATGTGAATCTCTGCTCACATCTACCTGGTTCAGGGAGGTAAGTTAAACTTAACAGCACGTTAAGAGCCGGGGCTGGGTTTGAACTGGTGCCTTCTGAGAAGAGGAGCAGAGTGAAGTCGAGACTTTAAAGATACATCGGCAAGATACTTATCAAAGCTCAGAAGTAGAGGTAGGCCATTCATTGTCAGGTTGTCAGGTATTTGGGTGAACAGAAAGAGAGGGAGGGAGGGAAGAGGGGGAGAGGGAAAGTGAGAGAGAGAGAGAGAGAGAGAGAGAGAGAGAGAGAGAGAGAGAGAGAGAGAGAATATAATATTACGCTCCAGGGAGCATATATAGCAAAAGTGTCAAGTGTGCAGGTGACAGAAGATGTTGGCCAAGAGTATCCTGAAGCTATTGTTTGTGTACCTGCAGAGGCTAAAGTGCTGTCTTCTCTTGGAGAGAGAGGTTCCGGTCAGTGTGCTCCGGAGTCTGGAAGTAAACAGTTGGAGTGACTGTTGACAACTCAAAAACCTTATTAGTCCAGTCACCCCCGTGGAACTTTAAAGCAGGAGCAGGGGGTGGGAAAGGAAGCAGATAAAAAGCAAGTGAAAGAAAGGAGGAGGGGCAGGCTCTGACCTAGCCAGCCCTGTGCTCTCTTCCTGCCTAGCCTGGGCCAGTTTCCAGGAGCCCAATGGCTAACTATGAGTTTAGCCAGGTGTCTGGGGACAGACCCGGCTGCCGCTTCTCTAGGAAAGCCCAGATCGGTCTCGGAGTGGGTCTCCTAGTTCTGATCGCCTTGGTAGTAGTGATCGTGGTCATAGTTCTGAGGCCGCGCTCACCCCTGGTGTGGAATGGGAAGCCTACCACGAAGCACTTTCCTGACATCTTCCTGGGACGCTGTCTCATCTATACTCAAATCCTCCGGCCAGAGATGAGGTGAGTTGGCTAACGGGGTTCATTCATGGCACAGTGAGCTGCGGGACACCGGGGAAGCAGGCTGTGACTCAGCTGGAGCTCTCACGGCGGGGGACCTTCCAGATTGTCCCAAACAAAGAATCTTGTGTTGTAGATCAGCTGGAAGCTGAGGGGCAGTGCTGAGCGGAAGGTCCCCCGTTCAAGTTACCAGAAAACCGCCTGCACTGCCACCTCCGGGTTGGCAGTGTCTGCGATGGGGACGCTGATCCTTGCTGAGCTCTGCAAAGATGCTGGCTTCCCACAGAGGGTACTGAACTGTGGGGCTATCTTTGGCTACAGCCGCGTTTCAGGGGCCAAGATGACTCTCAGGCACAGGAACTTCACATTGTAATTTTGTTTGTGGTTTCCATCAGACACCGCCCCTGACCAGAAAGTTATGGTCACAGGCGACACTTGACTAGGTGGCTTGCTGAGCATGCTATGGGGGTGGAGGGGGTCAGGAGGATTTTTGCGAATTCAAGGTTAGCAAGGACTGCACAGCTACACTGTAAATTCCAGGACAAGCTTGGGTTGCTAAGAGAGACCAGGCTCAAAATAAATTAATTTCAATTAATTACAACACAAAGTAAAGAAAAACAAGCCCAAACAGCATCCTGGTTATTTTTTGCACCTGATCATTAATAAAAACACAACAAGACAGACTATAAAAACTGAAATATTACTCATCAGGTAAGCTAAATCCACTTGGTGAACCTGTGTAGACCCTTGGGAACAGCATCTCCATCAGTCAATAGACACAGTCCGCCCATAGAACCCCTTCCACCCACTACCTGCCCCAGAGGAAATGATTTGTGTTGATTCTCCCTGGCATCATTTTAATGTAGAAATGATTTCTGAAGTCAAACAGAAAGCCCTGAGGCTGGGAAGGCACGTGCAGAAGCCCAACGTCACAGTCTGTCTTCAGATGCACACGCTTCCTGGGGGCTCCACCAGCTCAGTGGTCTGGGTCCTGGTCTTACTTGAAAATGTTCATGTATAAACACTCTCAGGGTCCTGATAAATATTTTTGTTTACAGATGTTTAAATGATATTGGTTGCTCAGTCCTTTTGGTACTGAGTAAATTCGCTGTGCTTAGCAAACCGGATGCATGGAGTTGGCATGACGTGTGCTTAGCACTAACCTTGTGGTGTGTAGATGTCAAGCATGTCTTCAACCTATCCACTCATGTGTATGTGTATACAGTCAGAATTTCAAATCATAATCAATCTGAAAATAAAGGATTAACTAATGAAAGTATACTTATTTACTGTGTGTGTGCACGTGTGCGTGCATGCATGCGTGCATCTGTGTGTGTGTGTGCCTGTTCCACAGTATACATGCAGAAATCATGGAGTCAGTTCTCTGCCTACACTATGTAGCTTCTGGGAATTCAATTCAGGTAATTAGAGGTTTAGAAGCAAGCATCCCCACCTGCTGGTCCGGTTCATTGGCTTAACATATTAGTATTGTGATGAGTGTCTTTCCAGACATCGCACATCACACACACACACACACACACATACACACTCACACACACACACACACACACACACACATTTTATATGAATAGATTAGTGATAGATACATATCATGTGTCAGGCGCCTATGTCAGGAGCTGAGATGCAACAGCTCAGTGATAGAGCTCTGGCCTAGCTTACAGAGTGCCTTGAGTTCACTCCCAGCATCACAGTAGAGGAATGAATGGAACAGAACAGACTAGGACAGAAGACAATGATGCACAGACAGTTGCTATTGATATCTTCATTTTATAGATAAGAAAACTAAGTCAAAAGTTTGAGTAAAGTGTCCACACGTGGTTGTAGAGTTTGAACTCCTAGCCACTAAACTTATTGCCTATGCAGGCTTTGTAGGAAGATTTGCCGTGACATTTATAGGCCATGTATAGACACCTTTGGAGAGGAAAGACAGAATAATTGTGAGAATAACGAGCTAACACGTTTAACCTGAGCACACAGCACCGTATCCTCCCATGGTTTGGGAATGTGAACCCTGAAGCCAGATGATCTGAGCTTGACTCTTGGCTCTGTTGCAGTTTACAGTATGACCTTGGACTAGGTCTTCAGTGTATCTGTGCTGTGGTATGTTCCCACCATGTAAAACGGAAACGTTAATGGCAGCACCTAGCACGGAGAGAAGTGAAAAGAACTAAGACAAATAATCTTGTTATGGTAAATGCTCAAAATGTTACTTCTGTGTAAAAGTAGTGTTGCAGACACTCTCCACAATAACAAATATGAAATAAGTACAATCGTTCATGCATTAGAACATTGTCCCATAATTCAGTTCTCCAGAGCAGAAAGTGACATTGTTTCGAATCGTGTTAACACTTGGTGGTGGGGAGTCTCTCACATTGCTACACACAAATCTACCCTACTTTTTTTTTATAGAGTAGATGTAACCATTTCCGGTCATCAAAAATTTAATTTCCAATTTTAAGTTATATATCTCTATTACATTTGGGGGAATGGGAAGATTGCCACAGGGCATGTGTGGAAGTTGGTTCTTTCCTCCACTATGTATATTCTGAGACTCAAACTCAGGTCTTAAGGCTTGGCAGCAATCGCCTTTATTTAATGAGCCATCTTGCTGGCCCATTTTCTAATTTTTCAATCTCGTTCATTTATTCATTAAGTATCTTTGAGCCCTTTCTGTGTTCCAGGCTGTGATCTGGCTGCTGGTGGCACAGGATTTAGAGAGTTCTGAGTTCTGTGCAGTTTTCCTTTGCAGTAAACATCTTCAACTTCATGTGTGTACTGGAGTGTTCTGTATGACAGACTCCCACTGATGGAATTTCTGGGTAAAATAGGAGATCGTGCGTGTCTTAGTTAGGGTTTCTATTGCTGTGAAGAGATACCACGAGCACAGCATATCTTGTAAAGGAAAATATTTAATTGGGGGTGGCTTACAGTTGAGAAGTTTTAGTTCATTATCATTATGATGACATACAGTCAGACACAGTGCTGGAGAAGTTGTTCAGAGTTCTACATCTAGACTGGCAGACAGCAGGAAGAGAGATAAGACACTTGGCCTGGCTTGAGCATCTAAAACCACAGAGCCCACTCACACACTTCCTCCAATAAGGCCACACCTACTCCAACAAGACCACACCTCCTAATGTGCCACGCTCCATGGACCTTTGGGGGCCATTTTCACTCAGACCACCAGAGTGCATATTTTGTTTGAATGGCTTTTGAATCCCACATGTTTCTAAATCCTTCGTGAAATAGTTTTATTATTTCACACTCCCATGTCGGTCTACAGTGCCCACTTCTCTGTGATCTGACCATTATTGAATGTCTTAAATCTTTTTAAATTTTGAGAAAGATAAAAAATAGCATATAACCATTTCCTGTTTGTCAGGCAGTCTTTTGTCTGGCTTTTGTTCATTTAAACTTTGTTCAGATCTTCATTCTTTCTGTTAAGTTACTTACATATGTGTTTTGGGGTTGTTTATATTTCTGGACAATATTTATACACACAGACACAAAGTCCCTCACAGCTCCATCACTAAGACCTCTGCCCCGAGGACACATTTTACTGACAACACCCTGTGTTTCATTATTATCCCAGGGCTACTTCTTATTTTGATATCCTTAGTAAGAAGCACTGAGAACGTTAGTTTTATTTTCAAACCTAGCAAATTAGAAACGTTTACTTTCTATTCTGCATTGTGAATCAAGAATTCTTTCCTCTCTGTGTCTGCACTTTCTCTTGCACAGCTAAAAAGAAAAGAAATGATTCTCAGCTTTTGCACTAAGGATCTGAGCCAAAGCTTTGGGTTCCTAAGGGGTATTATGTATCTTCACTTTTGTGGTTGACAAGAGTTACAACATCTTATATCACCTTGGCAAGGGGCTACCTTTCTTCTAGCCTCCACTGACCACTTCCTGTGTGTCCAACAAGTCACACAACAGTCCCTCATTGAGACCTTTCTACTTCTGCTTGACGTCCAGTGTTTGTACTGATGTCACAGGGTCTCCACACAAATAGAAATCATGGGGAGGAAATGTGTTGGAATTGGTCCGTGAAGTCATGGAGGCTGGCAATCCAACAAAACAAATGAACAAACAAACAAAATCCTGCAGTGTAAGCCAACAGGTTGGAAGCTGCAGAAGTACCTGTGCTGCAGCTTTAGTCTTAAGGAAGCCTGGCAGGATTTCCTTTCCTCCTGGAACCACAGACTTTTCCTTAAGGCTTGATGAGATGCTGCTTACTCACAATTATGGAGGGTGACGGCCTTCCTACAAGGTCTATGATTTAATGTTATTTTCATGTCCTAGAACATCTTTACAACAGGCAGGTAGATATGTTTGAGCATCTATCTGTGCGCTGTTGTCTCATGGAGATGACATTGCCAGTGACTCATTTGTTTAAAAAACATATCTTTAATGCAGAATCTTATTGCTGGGTACCATTTTTAAGTCTCTATAACAAACTCCTACTCCCCAATTCAGTGATTGACATTGAGGATCATCTAAATTTCATAGTTCTGCAAGTGCACAGGGATTGTCTGGAGGCCAACTTGACTTGATGTCATCAGGGTCTACCATCACCCAGGCTTCCATGAATGACATGCTTCCATGAATGACATCTTGGCTCTGCAGAGAAGTTGGGCCTTTCTTTCTCTTTGCATTGCCTCTGCGTGGTCCCCTCCACAAGGTCCTTCCCTGTTAGACCAGGGTCTCTTCATTGCTTCCACATTCTAATTGTAGAGTCAGCTGGATCCTCCTAAAGCTTTAGGCTCATGATGGGCTTCACCTCTACAGGTCACCAAAGCAAGGTCAACTCAGACTCAGCAACTGGAGAAACAAACTCTATTTCTCAATGGGTGGGAGGCATAACACATTTTGTGGGTACCCTCAGCCCTTCACGCTTTGCATGGGAGCATCCTTGTCTCTGTTCCTACTAGCCTGTGATGACTGTTCTGTTACCTCTGTTGCTGCTCTTAACAATCTCCCAC